ATGAAAAATCAGATGGTTTTTAGTTTAATTACTAATATATAAAAATGAACTGATAACTGTTTGCCTGCGAATATTGCAAAACTCTCATTACACTTATACTTTATAAAAATATCTTTAAATATTTTTATATACGTTGTGACCAGATCGTAGAATTGATTTTATCATAAATATTCGATCATTACGTGAAAGCGTGGTTGACCATCTCATGATAAACCTTGACCAAATCGATGAATAAACATTGTTTGAAGAAATTAACAACTAAATCCAACACTGATATTTCATAATATTGTAATTATATCGTAAAATAGTTTCACTATTCGCCGCTAGAGGCGCTGATAGCGCATCTTTTAACATAAACAGAATTTTTAACAGAATCCACATAACTTTATGCCTCATCGCGAACATTTAAATAATATATATAAAGTTCGTGGCTTTGAGGTGGCTTCGCTTTCGGCTTGGCACGGGTTATTTCTGGATATCGTTAACAGCGCCACCTAACGGGTCCAATTTTTAAAAAATCTAAACCATCCAGGAATCCACTTAAATACGCACAAAAAATTCATCAAAATCGGTGAGTTTTAGCGAGACTACCGGACCGCAATTGATATTTATATTTATAGTTACTATAATATGCATCTATTATATATAATATAAACATTCCTCCTGAATCATTCTGTCTATTGTTGAAAACCCACATCAAAATTCGTTGCGTGGTTATATATATACCATAATTTGAATAAGGGTTGAAAGATCTACAGATTTCAGAATTAGAAAGATTAAGCGTACAGACGGTGGGAAGCGACTTTGTTTTGTACTATGGAGAGATAGTCAGTAATAATAGGCTATCATGAAATGATTGCGATATTTGAAGTGGTCCAGCACTTCATGATAATATGATCAATTCTACGATGTGGCCACATTTATATAACTTAAAAATTTTGGCATTCATAGTTTTAATCTAAAATTAGCGCCATCTACTTAATGCTAAGTAAACTAAAAAATTAAACTAATAGTGACTAACTGGTAAGATTAAATATAATGTTACTGAATATTTATTATTGCAGGATCGAAAACTTACAATATCCCACCATTATCGGGATGATTTACCGTAATTGCCGCGTTTAGCAAATAAGCAAACTAAACTACTCCACAAAAATTTTAACTAAACTTTTTGGGTGTATTTCGGCATAGCAATAATTTCACTAACTTTCTTTGGTTTTAAGTTATCCGATGAAAGTAATTGAAAATTAAGTGACTGAGATTTTTATATCTATTTGATGGATTAGTATAAAATATAAGCAACTATTTTATAGTGTCAATCAATATTCAATGGGCTAATGATATAAAACAAATATCGCAATAAAGACTCTGCCGTACATTAATAGAAAACCATGAAATTCGACAATATTTGGTAAAAATTAAATTACCTTAATTTATGAATAAATGTAAAGAGTTAATTATGTCAAAATTCAAAATTATATTAAAATCAAAATTATGTCACTTTGAATGAAAGATAATTTACCTTGGAAGTCATGACCGATATAAAAAGTGACAGGGGTTGCTAGACGTATGATATTAATGCAATTCTAAAAACAACTACGTCTAATAATCTCTAAGAATTCAAAAGATATCACTTGAGTAACAAAAGTGATAACGAGGCGACTCTACATGTGAACCAGCTTTGTTGATTTTGGTACGGAGCAATATTAATGAGGTTCCTCAAGGGAACCCCACGCGAGCGAAGCCGCGTGTAAAAAGCTAGTAATATAATAAATCAGACCGAGATCGAACCGAGACCGAGCTTTGAACGGCAAATGAGGATCGGACCTAGAATAATAAAGAAAATTACGTTGTTTTTTAATATGAAAAGCCTTTTCCGAAAAGGTACCAAACGAGCACACAGTCCACCTGATGGTAAGTGGTTGCTGTGGCCCATAGACATCTACATATATCCTCGACTACGAATAAAAATGCAGATGCGTTGTCATCTGTGAGGACTAACATGGAATGCCTCGTTTCCGGTACAAAGGGTCTCTGGTTCTCTACACTCACCATACTAAACACAGTAGCGTTAAGCTGCTATTTTAAGCTGGAATTCATTAATAGACGGTGTTCTGTGAGTGTGGTCATTCCCTGGTAGAGCGGACCCACACACTCTCTCTCTCTCCCGCTACAACTATAATATAGATGCAGCGTGGCTCTATCTCGTATATCATTGCCATTACATCCTTTCAAAAGTTCATTGCTCCACATAGGCTTCCTCCGTAGATTGTTTAATGGGGAGGATATTTTATTTTTATTCAGCTGTTATCAGAAGGATGCTGTTGTCCATCTTCTGGTTCAGGTCCTGTCGCCTCTTACGACACCCACAGGATGATATGGAGTAGTGGATAATCTAATATCCCACCACACGGTAGCTATCGCATATAGATATAATTAATTCGACAAAATTTAAGCTAGAAGAAAGGTTTCAGGTGCGTTGTGTATTCTACGAAATTGAGTCGAAATGCCTCTCAAGCTCACAACCTGTACTTTTTGGTATTTATACTTTTCAAACGGGAGCATCTCTTAGTAATGTGTTTTCGTACTATCCAAAGTACAGTGTAGTGGCGGTGTAAGAATATCGACCTTGGGTGTCGTAAGAGGCGGCAGAGGATAACTGAAGTAGTAGTACTGAATAGCAGCATCTATATTATTAAAACAATTTATAATTAAAAAAAACTGCAATTTCCAACTCGCTTGTTAAGCGTAGTAACTGGCAACCCCCCCCCTCCGCCGCCGCCACCGCAATATGAGGCAATGGCTTATGGATGGCCTATGTAGAGCAGTGAACTTGCACCGTAGGCTGTAACGAATGGATACTATTCAGAGAATTACGCCTGCTGCCCGGCTCATCTAAAAATAAATATAAACATATTGTGTGACGACATAACCGTTTGGTCCCCTAACACTAGTGCATATACAGACTGTTGAGGCAGACATACAACTTCAAAAAATGCAAAAAATAAAACTGTGCACTTCAGATCTCAAATAGACCTTATCAACTTGTGAGTCCACTCCAAATGGCCTGTTTAAGCAGATGTACAGATTTTCAAAAAATGCTATTTTGGTATTCAATAAAAAGCCAATGCGCAGTAATATACCTCTTAGAGTTTTATTATGTATAGTACAGCTATAAATAAGCGGGATTTGCAAATAAAAGACAAATTTGTAGTTGACGTAAGAATACTTTATTTAACACAAATCAAACACTTTGGTACAAACAGTTAGTTGCGTAAGCAATGTCGAATCGCAATTTTAAGGTTAAAACTTATGTATGTAGCATCTAGCCGTAATAAAAATGCAATGAAAGGCAGTAGACAATATGAAATCAATCCCATCAAAACTTCAAACACCAAGCAAAATTTATTAACTTAATTTAACTTCATTGAACAGCTTAATTTTTAAATTTTGAATAGATTTTATAATTATATTTTTACATTAATTTTAACTAGCCTTGTCATTAATCCGAAATATCTAAATGGAAGGTCATGAGAAGATCGGTTGCTAGGAAGTCGCGGAAACCTAACTACAAGCCTACTTGGCAAAGCTTACACGACGATGCACAACATATAGGGAGACACCTAGAAAACGACACGCTCGTGTCTTACATCTAATTAATTTGCATATAATAATATAGAAAGAAGATTACGGTTATCGATAAAATGCACCTTAATATAATAGGGTAGTATTAATATTAATGATGGTTCAGTTTTTTTTAAATTTCATATCAGTTAGTAAAAATTATATATTTCGAGAGTAATAAGCATTTCGAATATATAATTTTCCGGTATCTGATAGCTCATGTTTTTATTATGTATAACAATTGAGTAGGTACTTATATGTATGGATTTTAATTTTTATGAGTGTATTGTGTATAATGTCACTTAGGTCACTAGCTACAGTTTATATAGTAATTTATTTAAACAGCTGATTGGTTAATTATGTTTAGTATATAACTTAAATCTAACCTTAATAAAATAGTGTTCGCAATGTAAACGCAAAACATTAAAAATATTTCACAAAATTCATGTTAGGACATGGCAATAACGCAAATGGTAAAAAGCATTACGAAACTATAACAGCAAAAAGGAAGCATCGTAGCAACACCAAAGTCGCCGGTTTTCTAAAAATTACAAACTACGAGTAGACAATTATAAATATTGTATGTGTAAAAATAAAATGGGTAAAAAATACAAAATATCACATTATTACATGTTGAGCTTAATTTAAATTGAAACTTAGTCAACCACCCCAAGATCCAGCTTCTTTATAGCTTACTTTAAATTAAGCTAAACAAATAAGACAAAGTTACATAAATAAAACTCAAGTTTCCTATTATGCAGACATCTGCAGTGGTTAAAGCAAAGTTGGGGAGAGTGAGGACAATTTGGAAGAACGTCACTTTTATAAGGGGAATATATTTTTTCAATTTGAAATAACTACCACAACCATAATTCTGTGTTTGAATGGTAACACTACGCACAGTGACGCGACAGTTCCACTGCGAGACGCAAGTGATACGTAAAATATTTCTACCCAACTTTGCCAGTTCCGCACTGTACAGCCGATGTTACTAATGAGAATCAATGTCGATATGGCACGAATGTGCATCACAATATGGGAAATAAGTAAAAAAAAATCCAGCAACTAAGTTGGGATAAATTTAAAATGCATGAAAGAAAATATCGCGACACAGCGTTAAAATACCGGAAACCCAGTTAAGACAAAAACAATGAACAAGTCACCTTCCTGCTAACCGCAAAGATTGCAACTTAGTAAAACTTATATTTAAACAAACCTGGTACAATGGCATGTAATAAAAGAATATGACTCGTAAATAATCCAAGCTGTGGAAACTTGCAGCAGCAGGATGGCGTTTGTTCACGTAGTAAATGCTAAAAAAAAACTTTTGAAATGAGTGTGTGCCGCTGTGACCGCGCGCTACGTTGGTTTACAGGTTACACTGCCACAGTATCGTAGGCTGTGAGTCCCCGCCCGTGGACTGCTTGCTGGGGGATTGGGGTGTTTGCTTCTGGTCTGTAAAGTGGTCAATAAAAAAGTAATGCAATTGACTAAACAACATTTTTATTACTTTTAAAGAATTATAATCGAATATTGCTTTATAATAATTTTTCTATATAAGTAAATTTGCTTATATTTTATTAAATTTGCATATATATATTTTGTTAAATATATGTATAAATAAGATAATGATATTTATAGCAGCGATTCTATCAAAATAACAAAGTTCAGGTGTATACAGCAAGAACTCGGGGGTGTTCCATAAAAAGCAAATGTTTTTTAATTATCTGCTTAAAACAATCTAAAAATTCTACTTAAAATTATGTAGTTATATGCTTTATATAATTTTGGAAAAGTAGCTGAATTCTGTCTTCGGGTTTATATCGGTTAGCAAAACAAATAATAGTCATTGGGTGCATAACGTGTGAAAGGTGGTTAGCCACAAAAGAATAATGAATATAAAAACAGTTCAGGCGAAAACAATGAACATTCAGCGGGTAATTATTTGCTTTTCACATACTTTGACTTACTGTTTCCTGTAGACGACGGATGCAGAACACAACACATGCTTTATTACCTGCGTATGCTATTTGACATACACATTACAATAACAGTGTTATGAGAATTTGCAAAAATAATATAATATATAGTAATAAGTAAAATATATCCGGCTCACACACAAGGAGTCGGCTATGTTAGTAAGATGGTAAAAATGTGTGCATACAATATGTATTATTGATACTTAGTATATATACATATGTACTAATAAAAATTGTATTAAACATATATTTCTACATGATAAAGTAATATTTTAATAACTGGGAAAATTTAAATAACTAAAAATTATAACATACGCGTACGTCTCGTTACATATTAAACATCATACATATAATTACTTTAAATATATATTTATTAGACTTAAGATTTTTAAGAATATTCATGCGTACAAGATGTACGAATGGAGTCCCAGGCTCGAATCGGCATCAATATTTGTTTTAAGAAATGTTGAGTTCAGCCAATGAAGGTAATATGTAATACGTACTAGAACCGATATCCCGAACAAAATATTATGTGCAGCAGTGCGGGGCGCGTGAAGGTGCGCACAGAGTAGCAATTTATGGCACAGACTAAGTTTGAGTTTGACTCTAACACGTGTAGCAAAGTCTTGGCGTCTCTTCTAGTACGCATTACTTCAATCGAGTTGGGCTTGAATTATAAACGAGAATGACTTCAGTTTTGGAACTGTCTTAGTTGAATCCTTATACGTTACGCCATTTCTTCTGTCAATACAAATGAAAAGGAGGTTTCGGAAAAGAGAGTGCGTATGCCCCTATGTGTACTATACTCGATCAAAAGTATCACAAAATTAATTTGAACACCCAAATATGTCTGTGTAATTACTTTCAACTATGTTTAATATGAAAAATTAAAATAACATTAAATAAGTCATACGTGAGGATAACAAACCTTGTTATTAAATTGTGTTGATAGAAAATTATGTGAATTTAAAAAAAGAATGGCATACCGATAATTGATTAAAATGTTAGTTAAGTGATTAAGTGTAAACTGTATGCATGTGTACGTGTTCGGTCTGGATGAACTGACCTGTCAATGAGTTTTCTCATTTCCTCGCTGTGCAAGCCGTCCTTGGTAGTGTGGGCCCTGACTGCAACAACATACAAGTCACGACGCGCTCTACACTAGACACGTCACCCGGAGATACCTGCCCGCTACTTAGATAATTCGGACAACACCCAAAACTTTCTTTTACCAACACATTGAAATCGAAACTTAAAGCTCATTTTGGGTGTTATTCGAACGTATCCAAAACATTAACTAAATATCTACAGAACCAATTTAAATAGAATTTGTTAACACAATCACATCTAAGCATAATGTGAAAGATTCGATGAAATAGAAATTTTCCTGATATCCTCAGAATCTGTAATCTGATCTGATATCGTAAACTATCACTTGGCAAAATCAATCTAAACATTTAAAATCTGAATTCGGTATTAATATTAACTACATCAAATTTTGTCAAGTGACATAATGAAATACATTCAATCCAAAAAGTAATGAAGGAAATTTCGGAAAAGAAAAATATATTAAGCCAATTGCAAGAAACTAGTAAGCTGGTAACAATATCACTTGTTATTACTGAAACAAATTAGCATGCTGTCAGTCACAATAATTATTATTATAAACAATGATAAGAATTGATCAAAATCGTTTTACCGTCTTCTGTTCAGGCGAGGCCAATGAGCGCATAGCATGTACCAATTATAATATTAATTTTACAATTCTTCTGCTCGGAAATTATTTCATAATGAAGGTCTCTTATTTACAAATGCTTTGTTATATTTTTTATTTTTTTTTGTCTTTTTCCTAATATGCCAGGTAATTTGAAATAACACATTAATAATTACTTTAATATTCAAAGCTCAAACGACATTGAGAATTGTTTTTCGGTATGTACCTTATAGAGGGTATCCCTTGCTTTTATAAAAAATATGTATATTTTAAAGTTGATAAGGTAATAAGTGTACTGAGTTTTCAGAAATTATTGTAGGTATTGAATTTGTTACAAACTATTTAACTGCAAGTTTGTTAAAAATGTTATCTTTAAATGGCCAGTTTGCAGCACGTTTGATAATCAATAACCATATGAATTAAAGTCTAAAAATTGGTATTAAAAATATCCTGACTGTAAATGTCTAAGGATATTTTAAAGTAAAAATTGTAAAAATGGTCAGAAAGTGAATAATATTAAATGTTTCGCAAACATTATATAAATCGTTAGGTCTTTTTAAGGGTAACCTCATTAGTCATTACGCACCAGGAAAGTTACGTGGCTGGTCGCACTCGGCTTCTGAAATCTCGTTCGAGTCCTTGCTTTCGTTGAAAGATGAAGAGCAGTTGTTGTCGTTGTTGGCGTTGCGTGGTGGGGGTGGGGGAGGCTCGGGGGGAGCTGCCGCATTTGCGAGTTCCTATAAAAATATACATTTTTTACTCAGTTGATTTCGACATCTTATCTTTTTATTTTCGACCTTTGCTTTAGATAGCAAAACCCAATTCCTCGGGATTTGCCACCGGCCGATAATTTTTTCGTTCATTGGTTAATTTAAAAACTATTAATCCAGCAAAATGACACGTAAAATGTATGTTTAATAGGAGTAAGCTTCTAGTTTAGTTTACTCCTGTTGGAGTATGTTAGGGCTGAATCTGAATGACAGGGTGAAAAATTGTGTGGTAAGAGAAGAGTGTGGTTTACAAGATGATGTTGTGACCAGGATTAAGATTTTTGTTTTGAAAATTTATATAGCAGAAGTGAATGGCAGAGTCGGAAAGGGACGTACTAGGCGAAAATTTATCGACCAAATTAGCGATGTATTGAAAACGGGCCAAATTAGGAGTACCCTTAACTGACGAGCATGTATGCGTAGGTATATGGATGTGAAGGAGGCGAGAGAGGTGTGTCAGGATCGTGCCAAATGGAAGTCTGTAGTCTCTGCCTACCCCTCTGGGTGACAAGCGTGAGTGTTTATGTTAATATGAGTAAGCTCCTAGTTTAATCTAAATAAACAACTAGAACCAGACACATCTCGTATTAATACTCTCAAATTATATGGCGATCCTGACAGGACAACACCACAAAACGGATTCAGATGTTATTTTTCTAAATAAATTAAGCTATGTTGTATACACAAAGAACTCTTAAAATTAGAGTTCGCTGTGTAGTATACAACTCATCGACAAAAGTACGGAACTTCACTGTTGTTTTTCATGAAACGTTAAAGTACAACTAATTGAATTTTAAGCTCAGTCTAGTCACGCTCGCACGTTGTATATATTCGGAACTGTCGTCGCGATCAAAATCGGCTAGGGTCAATATGATATAACTTTACGTTATTGACACGATAATTTAATTTTATATTCTGCGCTATTCTTGGATATTTTCGGATGGCATGATAAAAAAGACGTTTTTAGTAGAGTAGTAGATGCCCTTTATTAGCAAAAAAGTAAGAAATTACTTCTCCAGACAGAGCAAATTGTAGATTCAAAAAATTGTCGTTTGACAAAGGAAACTTCATATTATTACGTCGTAAAATAAAGAGATTTCATTTAATTTCCCTTCAGCTATGTTTCTAATGTTGACCTCGTTGCTCTTGTGGTGGTAAGCGCGACGATTATGAGGTCCCAGATGGGGCCAAAGAAATCAGTTATTGAGTTTTTCCGTCAAGAAATACTTAGTAGCTGCCCGGAGTCTCACACCGTCCCTCGGAAAGCACGTAAAGCCGTTGATCCTTTGATGAGTCGATACTGGCCGCCGTGGTCAAAATTCGGTGTGGAGGACATATATTATTATTACCAATACTGGGCCGCGATCCGTAGTGGTCGGAGTAGGGGGTGCCGTATGCGCCGGTGTACTGGTCGTCCTCGGGCGCGCAGCACGCGGGCTCGTCGTACTCCGGTCCGCACGCGTACATCGGTCGCGAGTAGCGGGCGCGCTGCGCACACATACAATTACACGTCATTAAATTAAAACAACAAAAAACAATATATTGATATAAAGTGAAAGGGAATTCGAGGTTTGTTTTATTTAATAGAGATCGTAAATCATATACATTTAAACGAGCAATTCTTGTGTATGTATGTATGTATATACAAGAATTTATATTAAGGTAGGTATATATATATATACAAGAATTCACGAAATTTTACATTGTTCTTGTCACGAAGTGTGGGTTTTTTACTAGTGGTTATAGCTTGAAAATAAAATTTATTTTTAGAAAATGTCTTTTTGCCCGTGTTTTCAGGCAATAAAAACCTGCTACAATATAAGAACGTAAATTTTGACACTATGTTAATGATCCTAATAGCTCATGTGGATTTCGAGCGGTCGTGAAATCATAATGCCTTGGTTCGCGTCCTGTGTTCGGTCCGATTTTTTTTCAAGTTCCCTTCTTTTGTGAAAAAGTCTTATTATTTCGAGCCCTTTTTCTTTTGGTATTTTTTTAAATACGAAAATTTTAACTGAACTAATTATTATTATTAAAATAACCAGTTCAGTTTTTTCTATTATGTCAATAAGATCAAAAAATATTATTTATGTTTCATCAGTATGTAATTTGTATCTAAATGTAATTTAAAAAAAAAGCCGAGCAAAGCTCGGTCATCCGGGTACTATATTATTTACATGTATTACGTTTGATCTGTACATTTATACATTGTAAGATACTGTTGGCAGAAAAATGGCCAACCTTTAAGTTTTGTGATTTAAATAAACACGTTCGTTTCGTTCGTTCGTTCTTCAAGTATAAATCTTTTTAATTCTTACGTATTGGTCCTCCTCGGCGCAGGTAGCGGGGTCGTCATATTCGGGCGCGGTAGAGTAGATGGCGCTCTGCCCTCCCTGCGAATTTTTACGGGCATAGCGGCTACTAGCACGGGGCTGAAAAATAAAAGTATTAGTTGATGGTGATTTTCTCTTATTGCACTCGCTGTGCTGTGCTGTTACATATTAAGTAATAGAGAACTTAAAGTGATGTGAAGATGTCTTAAGTAGTATAATTATGTTTTCTTGCTTAAAATCGCAATTCGTACAAAACTCATAAAGATTCATTCATCTTTCTTGGCCTCATGGCCTCGGCGTGTAACGGATTGGCCTTGCCTTAGGAATGTAGGGGGAGGAGTAGTCCTCTCTCTTAAGGCGGATCTCCAAAAGGGCTGCCAGTACTGGTGGGGTTGCGGAGATGTAAGTACGCATTCGGTGGCCCAGCTTCTATAGCCGGCGCAAGTGTAACTTCACAGGCTTTTAGTCGGTGCGAGTCAGACAACCCTTCCCTCGCCACCGCAAAACAGGTATATATAAGGATTACCATAGTTACGTTAGGCAATCATAACATTATAAATTACACTTATTTACCATGCTCTGTGACCCAGCGCGCGAGTGAGCAGGGTGATGGGGGTGAGGGTGAGCCAATGTTCCAGCGTGCGCGGGGTGGTGGTGTGGGAATGCCAGGGCCTTGCTGGGGTCCATCTCTTCACGGAAGCCTAGCAGATGAAAAGTCGCGTAGGGGCAGATCTCATCCTCCATGCCTGTATAATCATTTAATATTTTGTTTGTTAGGTAAGGTATATGATACCTTATGTACCTGTATGTTGAATTGTTGTGTTGGTAACACTCTTTTACATACTATGGTGTAGTTATAAAACTCATAGAGTAACCTCTGTTCAATAGTAGAGTTGCTGATTGACTGCCACAGGCTGCTATAATGATAAATATTATCTGTGTCATTGGGAGATGTAATAAAAATGTCACAGCGAACGGATGACATCACAACTGTCATACTAGTTTTAGCAATTAAGTACAGCATTGTTTTTTAATTAAGAGAATGCTTATTTGCAGCACTAATTATGATTGAGGGCTAATAATAAGAGCCATTCGCCAGTATTAAAATAATATTGCCAGTTGCCGTATGACTTAGATTCGGTAGGGCGAATGTGCTAGTTCCTTATTGTTAGCTTTTATCACCATCCCTTCTACAGCTGAATATGGACCTCTTTCGTTGTAAGAGGAATGTGTGATAATCACCACGCTTTGCAAACGATACTGCTCGTCGTCGCCAAGTAGTACGCCGAGATGTACGAGATGAATTACATAGCTATATGCTGGAGGCCAAGCATGGAGCAGATCTTTCTGGGATATTTCTTTTCGGGCTACGTTAGAGGCGATCACGGGATGATAGAAGATGACGAATTCTCTTTTTCGCTGTCATTAATTACATAAAATATTTCGAAGGCATGTGAAGTTTACCAACACGCATTGGGGCAGCGCGGCGGACATTTACTTGCCATAAAACTTTCTCAGAAATCAGAGGAGGCCTGTGCCTAGGAGTGGAACTTATATACGCTGTAACTAACTTTTGTTTAACATTACCCTATATTATCTGATACAGTGCTATACTAGCTTATTAAATGTAAACATTTTATTATAAAGTTGCAAACGTTAGCAAAACCTTGCACTTCCATATTAACAAGGAAGTTTTTATATCAGTATTTAGTTTTTAGTACATCATGCACACACGTATATATATACATACTCTAAAAAGTCCACATCTTTCATGCGTTAATTCCCAGCGACTTACTTAAGATAAGTATTATGCTGCAAGGCATAATAAACAACCAAGCGCGACTAGTTGTTCATAAAAATTCCTTCACGCTTGAAGCTCGTTTTCTCCTTTATATTTATAACATGAGACCTTTGGCCATGTCCACTTTCACATTTCAGATGGTCAAAAGAAGTCTTTTTTCAAGTTCATATTGTTTAAATAACTATTTCTAAACAGGCGCCTGAGTAGTAGACTAACTATAAAAAATAAACCTCTAAGGTGACGTAGCATTCTCGGAATAAAAGTCAGCTTACGTTTTTAAATGATGCTAGCGAAATGTTTTATTAAAATTATGAAACAGCCGTGGTAGCTCAGTGGTTAACGCTCGCTGTAAATATAACAGAAGGCGAGTAACCCGGGTTCGATCCCCGCCGGCACCAATGAAATTGTTAATTGCAATTTTAAGTGCTGATTTACCACGTGCTCGGCGGTGAAGGAAAACATCGTGAGGAAACCTGCATGTCTGAGGAATAAGAAAAAAAAATATTTCGAAGACATGTGAAGTTCGTCAACACGCATTTAGGCAGCGCGGCGGACACTTCCTTGCCCTAAACCCTCTCAGAAATGAGGGGAGGCCTGAGCCCAGCAGTGGGACGTATATAGGCTGTAACTTTACTTTTACTTTTTTAGCGAAATGTTTTATTAAAATATTACATACACGGATGCATTGCAAGTTTTGAGAATAGGGATAATCTGTACACACACACTCGCCAAGTGGTGTATAAGAAGCTGGCTACATTTTCGAGAGAGAAATTTAGAATAGATGGTTTTTAAATATTTTCTTCCACATTGAAGTTAGGTTGCATCACCTGACTGGCATCGAGGAGCACGTGGGTTGCGTTTACCTGCGCGCCTCCTTTTTAACCCTCGACGAAAACAAAATGGTGTTATAAGTTTAACTTGTGTATATGTGTATTAATGTTTTGATTAGATAAGGACAGTTTAATGCCAGAGTAAAATGGCGTACATATGTCAGACAAGAAGAAGTATAAATATTAGAGAGGGATGACAAGAGCCTCCTATAGGATCCAGAGGATCGTGTAAAATTGAGTTTGTAAATTAGCATAGTTATTTAGCGGAAAATAAAAACGCAAGTCCGAATCGTCTTTTAAGAATAGTAATTAGTATAATATTTTATTAAAAGCTTTAAAGTGTATGTAATAGCGATTTTTTAATGTTTTGGATAGATTATGTATGACAAGATAAAATAAATGTCAATAAAATTCTATTCTTGTAATAAAATAGTAAAATAATGAGAAAAACAACAAATTAAATGTTTTAATTCTGCTTAAAAGTATTAATTCTTGCATTAAACTGTTGTATTCTATAAGATAAGTAAAATATTAATGAAAACTGTATTGTAAAGATTGTACTTATCATTTTAAGGTTTATAACTCTAAAAAATTGTTTATAAAATAGTGATATTTTGTTTAATATTTATTTATTCTCTTTACAAAGTGAATGTTTAAATTGTTTTATGATGTGTTTTACTCGTACTTCATATGAAATACAGTTGTTTTGTAATATTATTGAGAAATAAAGTTATGGGACAATATATGAAAATGTAATAGTGAAAATTATCGATTCATTGGGGGGTTTTCACGTGGGGTTCTCCTTACGGTTTAGCTCGGAAGCACTTTCGTATGTTGTCCAATTTTCAATTCATTTTCCAAGAGAACTCCTCTCTATATGTGATTAGAGAGTCGAGTAACAACCCACAATGCCGCAGAAAGGCCAACTTAGACTTATAGATTACCTCTATAGATTACCTCCCTTTCCGTAGTCGGTGAACTACGGAAAGTAAATTTCTTATCCGGTACATTATAAATGTAATATAGCCATGCCAAGATAGGCAAAAAGTGACTGCCCCATAGTTATGGGGTATGAGGATATCCGGGCAATGGGGTATACCCCGAGGCCCGATACCTGCACGTACCTAGGTGCGTGTAGATGACATCAAATTAACTTAACTTCAATTCATTCGGGACCAGCTACAGTTTCGTTATAAATCAAGAAAGAAAACGAAATTAGGAAAAGTAAAGTAAAAGTTGTGAAAGTTCGTTATCACATTTCCAAGGGGCATTTACGAATAATTTTCGAAAAAATGCCCTAGAAGTAGGGAAAATATACAGTCCACTAAGTACATGACTGACGTCTGGACCGCGACCATTCCTTGGGGCCCGAAATCTTAGTCGTCAACCACTTTCTTTTGAGAAGGCGGGTAAGGTTCTAAGTCAAACTTCTTACCAGGGGTCGCGTCATTTTCTTTGACACGATTTTCCCGAACCCAACGAGGTACCCAGAGTGGTATAGGAAAGGGGTCAGTAATTGGTCGATCACTGTTGAGGGCGTCAGATGAAGAACATGACCGTCCGTTTCAAGTATATAACAACTATAAATAGTTCATAATTTTAAACATAAAATATGAATAGCTTAATGTCAACAAAAATTACATCATTTTAATAGACACTACAATAAATGTAAATTATTATTATCAAGTTATTTACAAGAATTGTTTATAAATTATGTTTATTACATAAGCAGCGTTTACCAGTTATATCATGCATTGCGCAAGTCAGGTAAAATTAATAACAAACCAGTGTTGTGGAAAATTATATTTATTTTTATATATAATGACTAAACTAATAATAATATACATGCAATAAATACCAGTATAATATAATTATTTACATAACATTATTTTGTATTTACATAACTTACCAAACTTGTTAGTAGCACACCACTCTGTTAGTCTCTCTGTTACTCGCAACTAAATTGGTTCACATTTGGAACTGTTTAGAGTGATTACTATAGTTTTTAACTATTCATTTTTAATACATATATTAATGTGCAGTAGAACAGTTACGTGATCACTCTAAATTGTGCCAATTGAGGATAGACGCTTAACGACACACGGATGAATATTTTTCATTTTTTGTACTCATGAGATAGTGTATGGGTACAATTATAAAATTTTATAATCCTTCAAAATATTACGCTGGTCATCGTAGAAATGCACTACGCTTTCGTAAGTTTGAACTTAAACAAACTGGACAAACTGACAGAAAAGATATTCTTAGGTATTATAATTGCTTATTTAATTGCTAATATACCATTTTCTTTGATAAATGAGATATAATCTTGTTTTAAAAATAAAAGCTTATATCGAAAACTAACAATCCAAACATTCTTTTATCAGCGGAACCTGAATGCAAAGTACTTAAATTTAAATTTAACAAAAATATATAAGTAGGAGTATAAACATAGATCATTGTAAAATGATTTTTATTTCTTTTATATCACGTAGTCGTTATACTCAAAGCCTCTTTGGCGGGTTCGGGAGCCGGTTTACTCAGGCTTGCAATACACAGTTTTAATTTTAATCTTGTGCAAAACATGCTTTTGCTGGGTATCTAATCTTCTATATAAATTATTGTATTCAATTACATTTTTGATAATACGTGTATTGATTTTTAAAAATTGTCAAAAAATATTTTTTGATGTCTCTTCCTATTCTCATGTTCAAATGGTTTAAAATAAAAAAAATACGTTGTTGTTTATTAAAGTAAAATTTATTTTTTACGTTTGCCAATGCTTTATTATAAATTCGCTTATATTTTACGTTAGATATAGACAAGTATTTCTTACGAGGAAAATATTTATTTAAAAAAAAATTAAAAGAAACCTATTTAGGTTTCTTTTTATTTGTTAAGACACCCGCAGGCATAGCGGTAACAGCATTGATTGGGAGTCAATATTGATCCGTGCGTGCGCGGCTGGCGGGCGTACCTGTGGAGAGCGTGTCCGGGGAGCCGGCGCGGCGCAGCGGCGCGCGGCGCACGCGCTCGTAGTGGTGGCGGCGCGGGTCCCACGTGGCGCCCCCGCCCACTGACACCATACTACTCGGTTACGCATGCGCCACATACCACATACAAGTCGCGGCACGTAAGTCTAACGCTGAACGAAACGTCTAGGGAATAACTGCACATGCCGTATCAGTACGGGGGACGGGATGCGACTGGAGAGCCAATCAGCGCGTGCGAACGATACGCACGCCCGCGTCCCACATACTACCCTATGATACCTTATTTTCGACTTATGCGCAATAACGGTCATCGCTAGACTTTCATGGCGCTACTTATAGCACATACCCCCCCCCCCCCCATGCCCTACTCGAATTTATGTTCGTTCAATTTATGTCACTTTTAGCGTTATAGCGGTAAAATATCTTATACATATTTGCAATGTTTTAAAAAGTATAAACACGTTATGCGCATTGAATTTCTAAGATGTTTAAACAGACAGTTGTAAATTATTAAAATAATTCTACATATTTTAATTTTACTTAAAGTCCTTGTATCAATTTTCTAGTATTCCCACTAGTCTTACTGGTAAGACCACCGGGAAAGAAAATTCTCACTAATTCTACTCTATAAAGTACAGAGAATTTTTCATGTACTTAAGAAGTTTATTTGGGGAATAGTACTAGGCAAGCATAAACTTTTAAGAGGAAGTAGGATAATTCTAATATGTATATTATTAATGTGTGTAATGGTAGCACTTTGTACACTAATAATACTTATATTGACTCCTATTTGACTGATACTAATTGGTAACTATTGGGAAGAAAATTTCACAGTAATGTTACCACTAAGACTACTGTGAATATCCCTCAAATTTATGTTAACTTTTATTCTGTATAACGACAATCATTAGATACATTGAGATAATGCCTCAGACATAACTCCACTAATATATTATAATTTTCTTTAATAAATTTAAATAAGCCAAACAAATAAGCTAAATAATACCCAAACTATACTTTCTAGAAATTCTTTAATAAATTTAAATAAATAACCCAAACTATACTTTCTAGAAATTCTTTAATAAATTTAAATAAATAACCCAAACTATACTTTCTAGAAATTCTTTAATAAATTTAAATAAATAACCCAAACTATACTTTCTAGAAATTCACCCAAACTATACTTTCTAGAATTCTTTAACCCAAACTATACTTTCTAGAAATTCTTTAATAAATTTAAATAAATAACCCAAACTATACTTTCTAGAAACTAGGGTAAGAAACGAACACACAGCTTCAGCTCTGCCTGATGGTAAGTGAATTATGTGACCTACAGACATTTATTCTTGATTAAAAGTCAAAATACAAATCCCCTTAAGTACTAGAAAGGATGGCCTCGTCTATTCGACAATAGCCAATGTAATTAACAAAGACATTTAAGTATGTAGTAGTAATAGACCGGACATCAGCAACAAAATTGTCGTCTGTAACTTTTGTCCTATAGGATATATCTCCGATTTTTGTCATTTAGTCTAAATGACATCACCGAAAGGTCAAGACGCATTCGTTTTATAAATTTAAAAAATATTTTTAACGAAAATATGCCCGGTTGTGCATTAAGGTATAATAAGTCACGATATGGAGCAAAAAATGAACAGAATTTCGGTTTATTATCCTAAGAATAATGTATATTTACCAAATAATCTTTAAATTTTATTATTTCTGGCAGATTGTTATAGAAGAAAGAAAAATTATTGTAATAAGTGCCGTGCCCTCTGTCATCCAGTAACGTATATATATTATGATATGATTTGATTTATATATATATAAATCTCTTTGGTAATTAACAACATAATATTATGAATTGGAATGACTATATAGAAACTGAAGCATTCTTTCTAAGGTCATACCTGTATTATTTAATGTAAGATACATAATATAGAGTTTTTATTTATCTTTTTTGTGTATCTACACCATTCATACGTTAAAACTTTAGTAACTTATGCGGTACGCCCGCATAAGTTACTAAAGGTAAACAAAAAAAAGGGCATAGTACTGCATGCTGGGCACAGCAAGCATTTAGTGTACTCGTATATGTACTTGACTAACTTTATTCTATATATAATATATAATGATATGATATTCACGCGTATACTTTTTAAAGAACATTGCGTATTACTCACTTTTCTATTTAAATCTTTTTCGTGACTTTATGGATGTATATATTTTTTTTTTTGTTAAATATGCGAGTTGGCATTGGGGCGCGAGCATTCGCCATAACCCTTAACATATCTATGACTAATAGGACAATACAGTGGAAATTACGTACCTGAGTGATTTTAACGTATCTTCTAATTACATTAAAACTAAATTACACTACTTTTAAGCGAAACAAAGACATGAATGGTCAACATAAGAAGATAAATTCGATGTAGCCAAAAATAGTAACTTGGGTTCAGGCAGACATAACCTTAAAATGTCTAAGTTGTTTTTTAACAATTTTATAAAAACTACTATCATTAGATATAAAGTGAAAGGTTAAGCAGATATATTAAAATTATAAAATATCAATCTAGCGATAAAGATTTAATTAGTCAATCCTGCAACAAAATGTATTTTTGACTACAACGTTGATTGCAACCATTAACGCTAAACCTTGAAATAAAAATGAGAGTGAGACAAAAGGTAAATCTTCCACCAAGTATAAGTAAATAATAATGAAAGGTATTTTTATTGGACTTAGGGCCGTGCCAGCGAAGCTTAGAAATAAATTTTGCGTTAAAGTAAGATACAAGAAAAGAACAACAATTATTAAAAGAAATCTTTGTTGTATGATACTTTAAAAAATCCTCGTAGTTAATATCAAAAGGTTTGCTGTTCTTTATTTGCACCTACTTCTAAACTAAGATCAATCTAACATATTATTATAATTATTAAATTAATACTTACTATACCGGGACATTTTGGATATCCAATAATGCAATATTTTTATGTTTAGTTGTAGGTAATTAAAAATGTCTATATCGCACAAGAAAAGTTTAAATAAAATGAAAGAGTACCGGAAAATCAAAGGCTGAATATGTGCAAGGCTTTTGCCTGGCGAGGTGTGTTATAACAAAAGTGTACTGACTGATGACGGCCTGGCGTTTGAGGCGGTCGCAGGTGTTGTAGTTGGAGCCGGGCACGGGCGGCAGCTTGCGGTTGGGCGGAGCGATGTAGCCCAGCTCGTCGCGCAGTCCGCCGCGCTTGTCCAGCGTGCCCGCGCCGCCGCCCAAGGCCGCCTGCGACGCGTTGTACACGCCGTCGTCTGCGGAATACACGGATTCGTTCATTTCACCTGAGTCACATCAAAGTATTGATATTAATTCGTTTTATTGATTGCAATAACATTTTTTAAACGTTCCGGATCAAAAGATTGTCAGAACCTACGATTAAAGAGTATAATAATATCTGACGACCGACATAACGCGGGTCTCAGATCACAGAGTACTGGAACTCGAAACGATCCATTTGAATGATCGACGCGAATGACTCGGTTCGTAACACAAGTCAATACTTGAATGATCAGGACACTAGAAATGAATTACTGACACCTGTCTACTGCGGAACACACGCCGCCGTCTCACTCGTCGAGCGCCATAACGTTCAGTCTCAACGGAGACTAGCCACCTGCGCAGGACAGAGTTATAGTGCACAGGTATGTGCGCAAGCATCTCTATTCACTCACTCTAATAGTCCGACAGGACTAAATAAGAGATCAGGCGCAGCACTCATGGAACCAGTGAAATACCTCTAACTTTCTGACTGACTCTGTACGGAGTATTAGGGCTTCAGCTTAGGAGAAAAACCCAATAACTATTTTTTGGTCCGAAAGTCGCGCTTATCACCACCAAACCAACCAGGCAGTCATAATACACATTAACTAAAAATGTAAATAGTAAATACACATATAATTTATTTTATTATTCGGAGAACTTGCTTACCTGTCCCTTTCGCTGTGCGTAAATAAAATCTTGCTAATAATTGTTATAAAATGTATACTTTATCCTACTCCACGATACAATTAACTTATAATATGCCAAATTACTTTAGAATCCGTCAAATATATGACAAACAGTCATATATACATATTTTCACATTACCTACTTATATAGAAGTACAAAAATTAAATCGTGTGGTAGATTTAATTTTTGTACATAAAATAATCTACCTATATCATCACGTAGGTGACGTAAGAAGCGACATAGGGGAAATGAAACGGGAGATCAGAATAGGGTTTTTACACCATGCAAAAAAAAATCAAAAATTATATAATATTTATGATAGGTTTTCTAAAAAGTAAACGAGAAATATTGATTTATATTATCTGTGCCTCAAATCCCAAAACGCTATCCGCCATATAAGATTCCATCATTACGTAACTGGTTATGTAAACTTGCTAATGTGCTGTGTATTATTTTGAAATTTTTCTAGTTCTCGTAATCGTTACGATTGTTGAGTTTTCTTCCGAATTTAATTGAAAAGGCATCATGAAAGATGATTCGTAAAAGCAGAAACTACTAATCTACCAGGGATAAATGAATTGATGGTGGCAAAATGTTTTGCATGCAATCCACATTTTTGTTTTGCCGAGTTGAGGAATTATAATATTACAAAACTTGACTTGCAATACCTACCACACCTCATGATGTTTTGTTTTGTATAAAAGACAGCTAAATATAAGTTATACATACACCAAAATAATTTTTGTAAACAATGTATTCGGGTATCTTCTTGCAAGTTATAATGCCAAGTGTTTTTCATATTGAAATCAGTTGGCACTTGAATCCATGTTTTCACATCCATCACTTTCCCGGTGTTCTTATGCTCGTATTTTTGCATTCAGGCACAACACACCAATAATGATGATACCATATATACTCGTAACTTATTATTAAACATCCAAAAAATCTTATTTTTTGCAAAATCTGAAAAATCCTAGGGCAGTGACATAACGAACAGTATGGCGACTAGCGTTTTCGCGTGAAAATTTAAAATGATAAATTAAAAGTAATTTTTATGGCAAAATTCGTAAATAATTTATATATATATATATATATATATATATATATATATAAAAATTATAGTGGTTCATTATCACTCTAGGATTAATTTAAAACATTATTAAAAATTGTATAATGCCCTATTCTGTTATTCCGATACAGCTAAGAATAATAAAACATTGCGGTTTCGAAGTCATAAAAGTCACGCCTGTTAAGTTTGACATTTAAAGCAAACATCAATAATAAATTAATGGCAGCCAATCTATGAAGAGGCCCTATGTTCAGTAATAGACTTGGACGAGGTGAAGATAATTGCAATGTTAAAGAAAGTAGAGAAAATTTATTTTAATGATGTGAAGTAAATTTCAATACTATATTTATGTTACCTTTTAGCTTATAAATAAACTAATTAGTACTAGGTTTTAGTTTAATCTCGGCTATTCCAAGAATAATATTGAACAGAGCGTGAAAATAAAACATGGTTAAGAAGGCCAACGATAACATCAATGCATAGACAAGAAGTAAGATTTCCAAAGGCTATGTTTAATATCTAGAAAGCCTCCCATAGTAACAAGCCAAGTTGAATTATTTAATAAAATTTAATAATTACTGAAAATGGACTAAATTCCTGTATCAAAAAATTATCTTTAAGGCTTCTTGTGAACAGTATATATTAAATAAGACACATTTAAGCAAATCATAGGCTAATATGTTATAATATTTCGAATGATTAAAAACTAAAGTGGTAGGTACGCTATGTACATGCGTCATGTATGGGCTAATAAACGAAAAAAAAAAAGATATGAAGCGGTGTCCATGCCACCATACATACAGTACACGTCCTTCTGACCTCGCAGGCGATGGGGCGTGTTCCTTCTGGCGAGGGTCAGACAGATCACCACGACACCGACGATGAAGACGACGATGGTCGCCAATATTGGTACCAAGACTTCAGGTTCAAGCCAGGCTCTGACCCAAGGCGGGAGTTCCTTGTCGCCGTCGGCGTTGCCGGGCAGAGGAGCGATGGTACCTACAACATATGTTCGTTTGTACCTTTGTGGTGGTGGTGGTCCCGCGCGCCTCGTACCACGCAAACGACAACGATCGCAATGATGATGACGAGTATCGCGGCGACGACTGGGACGATCAGATTGAGATGCGAGAGGATTATCTTGATCGTCTGTTCCGTGGTAAGGTGGCCGTCGTTGACGTCGCGCGCGGGTGCGATCGTACCTGAAATGCAAGCCCTCTATGAGTACGACAAGAAACATTTTCAAATAAAAGTTAAAAGGCGCTGCATTTCAGGTACTTTAAAGTTTTAAACTGTTTACCCTTTTTTATTTCGCTTTACTACATTATTATATAGTAAAATTATCGCTTTATGCATAAAGACAACTTTTAACAAAACTTGAAAAGCATAAAACTTTTTTTTTATATATAAAATAAGGGTGACAAACGTGCACACAGTCTACCTGATGGTAAGTGGGTGCTGTGGCCTATAGACCTACATTTATCTTCATTTAAAAATCAAAATGCAGATGCGTTGTCACCCCTCAGTACTAAAATGAAATACCTCGTTTCCAGTAAAACAGCAGCCTTAAGCTGCTATTTTACGCTGGTATTCTATTAGGTCGAGCCAACCTATTCGTGCTGCAACTAGTATAGCTACAGCATGGCTCTACCATGTATTAACACTTGAAGATATTTAAAAACAAGAAACATATTATAATAAATAATGTTTACTATTTACCACAGGATTTAGAAGTGTATTTTATCTATTGTCAACTAAGTTTTATGCAAAATTTAATTGTGGTTATTAAAGATAAAAACCGGCTGAATAGTTATTAATTATATTTTGCGAGCTCCGTGTAAGTGCCGATACTTCGCAATTAAAATACTTTAAACCAAATAATGTATTTGTGCATGTTATACCATATACATATACAACCGAAAATCATAACCCTTTTTCTGGGGCAATCAAATGAAACTGATTATTACTTAATATACTTGCTGTAAAATAATTTCGGTTCGTACATTTTAAAGTTTTTTTGAATAGAAAAAACTTGTTACGCACCTCCAGTCATAGTAAGAGTAGCAAATTCATATTCAGCGACATTGAATCCAGCGTTGTTGTGTGCGGTTATTCTCAAAACGTACCAAGTTGCAGGTTCCAGGTCTAGAAGTGCATTACATTAATTTAGAAGAATAAATATTACTTAATTTGCTTAATGATTATTTTTTGTGGATTCAAATCTAACTTACCAAGAACAACGAAATTTCCACCAGGCTTCACAGCATTTGAGATTTGATTCCATTCAGCGGCGCCCCTGTTAAAATTATATTATATGTATTTATTTATGAACAATTTATGTGTACAGAATCAATTAAAATGACACATACAAAACCACAAGAAGAGCAAAAACTATTATTGACCTGTACAATCATTTAGATTTGTTGCATTTTATTGCACCCAGGACTAAGAAGGAACGTCTTGTTCCCACGAGGCGTTCCTTACCAGTTACCAGTTAATTTATACAATGCACGGGAAGACAGTTAGCCCTCTACACCATACACCCGTATATTGTCTCCTCCAACTTAGTAGTATCGCCATCCTCCCTCTCCCCTCCCCTCGTCAATATATCGTCCCCTGCAAAGTAGTAGTATTGCCATAACGACTTGACTTTGTTGACACCAATAGGAATATAAATTACTAAGTTACGTGCTGATTATACCCTAAATTATTTTAAATATTTTATTTTCTCCTTTTATTTTATACCAATTTCATTATTAAGGTCAATGGTCTTCATAATTTTTTTCACTTTTGGTGCATATTCACGGCAAATAGAGATATGATAACTAAAATTACCAAAACTCAGTGAATAATAGTTACGTTCGGTCGTCTTAGGTCGGCACTACAATATCTATGCACATACAGAAATCGCGTGCAGACAGGTCGGTGCTCTTGTAGGAGTAGTAATTACAATAGTCCATTTGTATGCAGTGTCTGAGATGTGCTAATATGTGAGCATTGAACTAATATGAACTACATACGTATTAGAACCGCGGACAAAATCTGTGCGACAGTGCGAGATGCGTGGCAGGAGGCGCAAAGTAAGCTAATAACACAGACTTAGTAAGTTACTATACCTATTACAAATTCTAGTGTAAACCTAAAATTGTAAGCACAATTGACATCTGCCAGCGATATGATGGAGGGGGGCAGTCGAAAGGAACGTTGCATACTTTTGGTTTATATACTTTAGAGTCCGCGGCTCATTTAGTACGTAGTACATATATCTTCAATGTATAGGTGTGTATAAGTGTGAGAAATTTTCTGTGTTGCCATTGGGTGGGTGTGTGGTGTCGGGTGCGAACACTAAGCGTGGTGGTACACTGACTTCTTCTTGTTCTCGACGACGAAGTGGCTCATGGGGCAGCCGCCGTCGAGCCACTGCTTGAGGTGCAGCGTAACGGAGGAGCTGCCCACCTCGATGAAGTCCGCGGCGCGCGGCACCGGCGGCTTGGAGCCGCGCGTGCGTGCGATCACCACGTCCGACGCCTCGCCCGTGCCGATGCTGCCACATACCACACACCAACGCTCATTCACTCACAGCGCCAAACTCAATATTATTTCACACCATCAGACGGCACGTTGACCGTGCAGTGGCGGTGTAACAATATTCACTACCCTATACCGTGCTGTGGGTGTCGTAAGAGGCGATAGAGGAAAACTAAAAGAGGAGACGGTTAGCAGCATCTTCCTGATAATATCTCAATAAAAATAACAAGCTGCGGCCGCCGCGCCGTGGCCCCGCGAGTGTGCCAACTACTGCGAAACCCTCCCAATCTAAGGGTGAGACCTGTGTTCAGCTGTGGACTTTTATAGGCTGTAATAATAATAATAATAATGGCAATGGCAAGACCCGGCAGTGCAGAGCATTTCCGACCGGGAGACCGTATGGAAAGAGAAGGAACTCCACGGGAGGTTCTACAAGGCTCTACATGAGCCTTTCGTAGACACGGTAGCCTCCCTCCACTGGCTACGCTTTGGTGATCTCTTCGGGGGAAACCGAGGGTTTTGTCTGTGCAATACAGGATCAGGTTATTAAGACCAACGACTATCGGAGATACATCCTAAAGGATGGCACCGTCGACATCTGTCGAGCTTGTCGCCATCCCGGTGAGTCACTTAGGCATGTTATCTCCGGTTGTTCGGCGCTTTCTAACTCTGAGTACTTGCACAGGCACAACCTAGTAGCCAGAATTCTACACCAGGAGCTCGCTCTGAAATACGGTCTCGTGGATCGGAAATTGCCGTATTACAAGTACTTGCCGGAAGCCGTGCTCGAAAATGATCGCGCCAGGCTCTATTGGGACCGGGCCATCATCACAGACAGGACTATTCTTGCGAATAAGCCTGATATTGTGCTGATGGACCGGGCACAGTCAAGGATATTTTTGGTCGACATTACCATTCCGTATGACGAGAACCTCGTGAAAGCCGAAACAGACAAGCAAACAAAATATCTGGACCTGACTCACGAGGTGACCGACATGTGGGGTGGTCTGCCGACCGAAATTATTCCTGTAGTCGTCTCTGCAAACGGGCTAATCCCAGTCAGCCTCTCGGGTCATCTGAGGCGGCTGGGACTACGTGGCGGACCGCTCCAGGTTCAAATGCAGAAGGCGGTACTCCTCGATACCGCCCGCATCGTCCGCCGGTTTCTTTTCCTTTCCCCCTAACCCTCGGCCGTTTGGTCTCCCCTGCCGAGGGCCTCCATCTGGTTGGGCTTTTATTTATTTATGTACTTTTATATTTATTTTCTGTTATTGATATTTATGTATATTTATCTTTTCATTTTCATTTATAATTATATATTTATAGCACCCAACCAGATGAGAAAACTATATAGATACCCAAAACTAATAATAATGTCCTCCAGACTGAATTTCGGCCACGGCGGTCTGCCTCAACGGAGACTAGCCATCGGCGCAGGACAGGATTATAGTGCCCAAGTGTATACGCAAGCACAGGTGCACTCTCTATTCCCTCACTCTCATAATTCGATGGGACAGTATACCGACACGACTGGAGAGAGATCAGGCGCAGGACCAACGGCTTTACGTGCTTTCCGAGGCACGGGGGAGAGACACCGCCAACTTCCTAACTCCGGGCAACTATTGAGAATTTCTAGACGGAAAAACTCAATAATCAATATTTTTAGCCCGACCCGGGATTCGAACCCAGGACCTCACGATCAGCAGTCGCACTACTACAACCACTAGACCAACGAGGCAGTCATAGTAGTCACATAGGCTGTAATGGATAAATCAATGACGTTATTTTGCAGAAATTCATTTTGTCTCTCTATATATAAGCAAAATTTAAGTGTCTGTTTTGCTTGGTATTAAGATATGAGACAGCCGCTTTAAAAAAATATCTGTACATATATCTGTATATCTGATTGGATTTATCTTATAATTTTTTACTTCAAGATTATGATGAAACTTCACAAACAGATTGAAAGCAATAACAAGAATGTTCGAGGCAATATTCTATCCTAAAAATATGCAGAATTATATAAATAAAAAACTAATAAAAATTAATGACTTAATGAATATCTCTTATCAACTATAAAAGATACGAAGGGATATTTTAATGTTCGCGGAATGGGGGGTAGAGTGGAAATAAAAAATTTATTTTTACTTTTCAATATATGCACCTGCTACTCTAATACATTTTTCGGATCTTTCAATTAACTTATGCATACCTTCAAAAAATGATTTCTCCTTGTCTAAAAATACGCAGAAACTGTTTCCTTCACTTCTTCATCACTTAAAAACTTTTTCCCACGAAGTTCTTTTTTTAAGTTTGAAAATAGATAATAATCAATGGTGCCACATCAGGACTATAGGGTGGGTGTGGCAAAATTTCGAAGCCCGCCTTCTGCAGGGCAGCCATCGCAACATGGCACGTCAACTTTCCTCTTCTTTTCTCCTTTATGGCTTCCTTCAATTGTTCTAGGATTGAAGACACCTTTATCTATATAATTAATCAATAGGATTCCTTCTGAGTCCCCAAAGACTTTCGCCATGATTTTCTCAGCCGATTGTGCCACCTTAATTTTCTTGAGTGGTGGTGTGCCTTTTTTGTGCCACTGCATAGAGTCCTGTTTGGACTCAGGTTCATAATGACGAACCCAAGTTTCGTCACCAGTAACAATTCGAGCCAACACTCCAACTTTGTCTTCCATACAGAGGTCCAAAAATTCACGAGAACGCTCCACGCTGGGCGTGAGCATTCTAGGCACCCATCTTGCGCTGACTTTAGTCATGCCAAGATGGTCATGAAGAATTTTGGAAATGGTTGTATCTGATAGTCCAACCATTTCTGCGAGCTGTTTTTTCCTTAGGCGGGCATCTTCTAATATTAATTTTTAGACTTTTTTAATAATTTCCGGAGTGGTCACCTCGATCGGCCTTCCTGGCAGTGGGTCGTCTTCAAGTGACTCTCTGCTTTGTTTAAAAAGGGTATGCCACTTGTAAACCATAGTTTTACTTGGAAAAGACTCTCCGTAAATAGATGATATCTCTTCCAGTATAGTCTGAACTGATTTTTCGCGCTTGGTAAGGAACTTTATAACGACATGGAACTCGATTTTCTCAATATATCACAATTTCTTCCCGATTGACTTGTTTGGTTGACGATAACGCAAAAACTAATGTTCTAATTACAATTAAACCCGGTATTTATACTAATAATGAGTTGCTCAATTAGCACGTAATTCAGCGACGTCCCCACTTATTACCTACCTACCCATTCCGCGAACTTAAAAACGCACCCTCGTATAACCAAAAGACTCAAACATAAATTTTTTGCTTTTAATATAGGTAATATTAAAAGCAAAAAATTTATGTTAATATTGTTACGAGCTTGAGGTTCGTGACAATAAAAATTGCCGATAAAATTACCTAAATTAACACTTTAATTTACTTTACACAATTAAAGTTAAAACACCAATAATTTAAACACACTAATTCACTTAATTCCACTCCGAAGCTTCGCTTGTTTCGCCCAAATCAACACTGCCCCCATCGCATCTTGCAGCGCCTATATATTTAAATTAGCAAAGAAATATCCAGAATGTTCAAGTAAACACGCGGAAGGTATCGAGCGTTCGAGTTTCGACTAGGCGCTGTCAGTTGAGCGATTTGTGATGTCATTTTCTCAATGCTCCCCTCGCTCTCGTTCCTGACACTAGATGGCGCTAGTTGACTTATTCATGCAACACTGCCCCCTCCTAAGACATGCTCGTCCCGAGCATTATCGGTCCCATAATAACGCGCCAAGCGATCCACATGGACGATCTTAGGAGTCCCTCTTGCGCCTTTCTGTATCCGGTAGGTCACATCGTTGATCCTGGTTACAATCCGGTACGGGCCGTCCCATTTAGCTTGAAGCTTAGGAGATTTCCCTTTGCTGCGGACTGGATTGTGCAACCACACAAGTGAACCTTCGTCGAACCCTTTGTTGTTCATTTTGCGGTCATACCGGGTTTTCATCTTTTCAGACATTTGCTGGCCCGATTGTCTGACGTGCTCATAAACGTCATTCATTTTTTTCCGCAAGTCATTTGCATAATCGGTTATACTGCGTGGAGCATCGGGTGGTATCCCGGTGATCAGGTCTGCAGGCAGCCGTAATTCTCTTCCAAAGTTTGCGAAAGCTGGTGTCACTGCTGTACTTTCGTGAACAGAACTTCGATATGACAACAAAAACGGTTGTATGTGCTTGTCCCAATCTCGTTGCCGATTGTCTACAACTTTTGCTAGGTACCTCTCCAATGTCTGATTAAATCGTTCCACCATTCCATCAGATTGCGGGTGATAAGAAGTCGTTCTTGTTTTATGAGTACCCATAACTCGGCAAGTTTCCTGGAATATTTGAGACTCAAAATTCCTTCCTTGATCGCTGTGAATCTCTAAAGGTACTCCAAAACGACAGAAGACTTCATGAACTAGTTTATCTGCAACTGTTGAAGCTTCTTGATTTGGAATGGCGAAGACTTCTGGCCACTTAGTGAAGTAATCCATCACAACCATGAAATACTTGTTACCGCTTTCACTCTCCGGAAACGGCCCCGCCACGTCAATGGCTATTCTCTCCCATGGTGCACCAACATTGTACAACTTCAATGCACCTCTACTACGAGTCTGAGGTCCCTTTACAGCCGCACAACTTGTACATTTGCGACACCAGTCCTCGACATCGTTTCGACAGTGGACCCAGTAAAACCGTTCTCGGATCTTCAGTAGAGTTCGTTTAACTCCCAGATGGCCTCCTGAACAATCATTATGGTACAGCTGTAGAACATCCGGTACTTTAACTTTAGGGACAACCATTTGCAAATGACAGCTGTCTCCCCGAACGTTTTCCCATTTACGACACAGAACTCCATCCTGAAGCAGCAAGCTGTCCCACTGGGCCCAATAGCTTTTAGTGGTCGAACTCATCGCTGAGACGTCACTCCACTTGGGCTTGGGAGCACTGGCCTTTATCCATTCCAGAATCGGC